GTCATCACAACTCGCATCTCTGACAATCTGGATACTAACCAGCTTAGAGAACAGGCAGGCTTCCGCAGTGGATACTCAACAACAGACCATATCCACACGCTCACCCAAATAAGAGAAACAATAAACGAATATGGGAAACACCTGTGTATGGCTTTCATCGACTACGAAAAAGCATTTGACTCTGTATAATTACCAGCAGTACTATAAGCTATTCGAAGACAGGGAGTAGAGGAGGCATGTAGAAAAATATTGGAAGATATATGCGAAGATGGGACAGCAACCATCAAGCTCTACGCGGAAACCGATAAAATACCAATGAAAAGAAGGTGTGACTAAAACTGTTTACAACTTGCCTTGAGGAAATATTCAAGAAGCTAGAATGGAACGGAAAGGTTATCAAAATAGGAGACGAATACATAAACAATCTAATATTTGCAGATGATATTGTTCTCTTCAGCGAATCTGCAAATGGAATGCAGCAACTAATAAACGATATACCTAGGGCAACTCGTACAGACAACACATCTAGCGAAGAGGAAATTAAGCGACGCATCAGTCTAGGCTGGAGCGCCTTCGGCAGATACAGTAGCATACTAAGAGGCTCTTTGCCATTATGTTTAAAAAAAAGTCTTTAACTAATGTAACCTCCCAGTTATGACCTATGGACTAGAAACATGGACTACAACCAAATTAGTGGAGAGGAAACTAACAAGTGCCCAGAGAGGGATGGAGAAGTTGATGCTGGGAATTAGCCTAAGATATCGGATGAAGGCGACGCGGATCAGGGAATTGACAGAAGTGGAAGGTATACTCGGGGACATCAAAGAAAAGAAGAAGAAAAAAAAATGCAATGGGCAGGTCATATATGTCGGAGACATATATGTGTGTGTATGCATCGGGGACAGATGGACACAGAAAGTAACAGATAGCATAAAGAGACCAAGAGCAAGACCAATGACAAGATGGCGTGACGAAATAACGAAATTTGGGGGCCTAGACTGGAAACAAAAAACGTAAGCCAGACAAAATTGGAAAAGATTGGGAGAGGGCTACGTTCTGCAGTGGATCAATGTAGGCTGATGATAATCATCATGATATTTATGATGATATTTGTGTGTGTATATATATATATAGATAGATATAGATAGACAGATAGATAGATAGATAGACAGATAGATAGATAGATAGATAGACAGATATAGACGCATATATATATATATATATATATATATATATATATATATATATATATATATATATATATATATACATATATATATATATATATATATATATATATATATATATATATATATATATATATATATATATATACATATGTATATATATATATATATATATATATATATATATATATATATATATATATATATATATATATATATATACATATATATACACATATATATGTATATTTATTTTTTATATGTATATTTATTTATCTACATAATTATTAATATAACAACACACACATATATATACACACATGTATTTTTGCGTGCATGTGTGTATATATTGTATATATAAAAACGTGAAACAGTTTTCTAAGGGTTATCAGCCTACTGCGAAAGTATTTTCGTGTCTCTCGAATCTGACGAAAACATTATCTTGACACGTTAAAATCCTACTGACAATTACTGAGAAAATGTGAACCTCATCTCATAAATTCCCACTTTTAACAACGCAATAAAAGCTTCCGTCACCCTAAGAAAAAAAACATTCCTAATTCCCTCATTACCCATCATTTCCTCATTGCTCCCAGGTATGCCGATCATTAACAACAACAATCCAAACGAACTTTAATCATAAAAGATGACAAATGACGCGGAAGTATGGCGCTCGCATCTGAATTGGATTTTAATAGGCTTATGGGCTACGGAGGGAGAGGCACAAACATCCCGATGAAGGACTCTGTCGTGAGGTCTTTGCGATTCTTGGCTCCGAAGGTCCGTGGGGATTCCTTGTCGAGTTCTCTCTCTTGCGCGCCGTGGTGTTGTTGGTGATGGTGGTGATGGCGTTAGTGGTGATGACGGTGGTGATGGTGTTGGTGGTGGTGATGTTGGTGTTTGTGGTAATGGTGTTGGTGGTGAGGGTGGTGTTGGTGGTGGTGACGGTGATGGTAATGTTGGTGGTGATGGTGGTGTTGGTGATGGTGGTGTTGGTGATGGTAGTGTTGGTGGTGGTGATGGTGGTGTTGGAGGTATTGGTGGTGATGGTGGTGTTGGTGGTGATAGTGTTAGTGGTGTTGGTGGTGGTGATGGTGGTGTTGTTGGTGATGTGGGGATTTTGTTGAAGATAATATTATTTTATGTTGCTGTAGATGTGTTTTGTTTGTAACGAATTTCCGAATATACTCACACATGAAACACACACACACACACACACACACACACACACACACACACACACACACACACACACACACACACACACACACACACACACACACACACACTCACCCACACACGCACACACACAC